TTATGTTAGAGCAGCAGGTGGTACATCGATTTCAGAGAGGAAGGGAGAGGGGGAGAGAGAGAAACATCAGTGATGAGAGAGAACCATGGACCGGCTGCCTCCTGCACACCCCTGACTTGGGATCGAGTCCGCAATCTGGGCATGCGCCCCAACCAGGAATCAAACCGTGACCTCCAGATTCCTAGGTCAATGCTCAACCACGGAGTCACACCGGCCGGGTGAATGTAACTTTTAAACAAAAATTATAAAGACTACATCACTGGCACTATCCTATATAAAAGTGTAATATGCAAATTGACAGACCAGCGGAATAACTGGTTGCTATGACGCGCACTGACTACCAGGGGGCAGATGTTCGGCACAGGAGCTGCCCCCTGGTGGTCAGTGCGTTCCCACAGGGGGAGTGCCGCTCAGCCACAAGCCAGGCTCACGGCTGGCAAGTGAAGGAGCGGGAGCCTCTCCTGCCTCCGCTGCAGGCAGGCAGTAAGGAGTGAGGGGTCCTGGACTGTGAGAGGGCGCAGGCCGCTGAGGGACACCCTCCCCTCCCCAGTGCACGAATCTCGTGAACCGAGCCTCTAGTATTAAAGAATAAAAGAAGAGAAAGCTGGAGCAGACTGTGAGAATTCTTGAAAACAGGTATTTGCTGGGAAAACCCTGCTGTTTCCAGGTCTGCTGCAAGAGCACAACCAGCTGTGCAGCAAGCAGGGTGTTCTGAGCACTGAGCCTTCCCAGCAAGCAGGCACGATAAGGAGGTGAGGAGGTGAGATGTAATCGACGGCAGGTGAGCGTCTACCACTGCGCAGCGTTGTTACCGTATCTGCCGAGGGCCTCGAGGAGCCGCGGCAGGGAGCCTGCCTGCTCCCTCATGTGATTACAGACTGTGGGCGTCGCATGACCGCGGCGGGAGGTCACAGAGGACACGCCGTGCCAGGGACGCTGCCGGGTTTTTCACAACCGCCACTCACAGGGAAGTACCGTGCAAGGTCATTCCCACGGCTCCTCAGGTTGACATTTTAGGAAATGAAAGTGACATAAACCGCAGATGGCGTGAGCTGTCACTCACAGGCACGGACCGAGTGTGCAGAGAGCGGGGCTCTGGCTCCAGCCCGGCCGGCAGCTCCCGCAGCCTCGTCCCTCCACTGTCCGACCAGGGGCATCTACAGGGCACCTTCGGCGGCACGCGCTCCTTGGGGGGGTGGGGGGGGGGGCGGACGAGGCCGCGGCACCTCTGACGCTCGCTCCAGAACTAAGTCTTGGGTTTTGTGTGAGAACTGGAAGTCTTTAACTCGATGTCTATCCTGAGGAGGGGAGACTCCAAGGTCTCTGGGACGGGATGCGGAACAGCCACGCCTGCACCTCGCTGCTGCCACGCGGGGCCCTGGCCCCTGCGCACCAGAGGGTCTCGGGGGACTGTGGAGAAGTCATCTGGATTCAAAAATGTTAGTTTCCTCAATTATTAAAGCAAAAAAATTCAGTAAGTTTGTATAGATGACCTCTGGGGACCTGTTACTGTACTATTACTCACATTTACATATTATGCACCACACACATTACGTCACAGACAGCACGTGTGGTACAGAGAGCTCCTGCCACAGGCTTCCCGCGTGGCATCTGTCCTCAGGACCACGAAAGCACTGACTGACTCACCCAGCTGTCTGTTGACACCACACGTCTTCTCGGAGAGTGAGCTAATCCCCGGGTAATCCTCAGGGAGTAAGTGGTAAATGTGTGTCTTCGGAAAACAGCGCAAGCAGGAGCTCCTGGGGCAGGTGGGAGGCCTTGAGCTCAGGCAGCGTGGTCAGCGGGGAGCACGGTCAGCGGGGAGCGCGGTCAGTGGGGAGCTCGGTCAGTGGGGAGCGCGGTCCGCTGAGACAGGCGCTCCTTTCCCCTCATTTCCATCCGCCCGATGAGGCGCACGGCACGTGCCTGTCTGCGGTAGTGGGGGGCCAGCTGGAAGGAAGGAGACTGTCAGACGATGTGGCCCACAGGTCACCGCACTGCACGGGCCGCAGCACTGGCCAGACAGGGTGAAAAGGGCCTCAGGCCTAACAGTGGGCTGCGGTCCAGGGCTGGGGTGGACGCTGAGATGTAAATGCTTCTTCAACCTTTCGAGACGAGGTGCTGCCTTTCTAAAGGCTACAGTGTCAATCAAGGCCTCTAGAGAATGGATCGCCCACAGCAAACCCCTCCTTCCTCCAGCCGCATGTCGCCTGCATCCGCCCTCGCACGTCAGGCCCGCGTGTCCGCTCCGCACAGGACCCGCTGGTCCCCTCTCCCTCCCGGGCCCACGCCTTCACACCAGGCGGGGAGACGGCCGTTCTGCCTGCCTTCCTGGCTTCTCCGGACGTCGGAGCTATTTGGCTTCACCACAGGTTTCAATACATTTCTCAACAGCGATGCTTCCAAAGATCAAGCACAAAACCAATGGAAACGCGAGTAGAGTGAACACTGTGGCTACTGCCTCAAACACGTCACCATCACCTTCGAGGTATTTTCCCCAGGTCGGGCGTAAGTTGACGTAGCTCAATTTGGTTTAACAAATATTAAGAGAAAACCAGTTATTTTGTGAAAAGAAAAGATACATAATGATAAAAGGGAAGCGAACCAGAGGAGCAGGCGTGAGGTCCAGTTCCCTCCAACTGTTGGCCCCTTTGTGCTGAGGCTGAGCCACCGTCAGCTCCCCAGCGGGACGCAGGCCCTGCTCGCTGCAGCCTGGGCGAGGGGCTGCCGCCCGCTCCCATCTGCGGGTCCTCAGGGAGCCGGTGCCCTTCCATGCGGGAGGACCACAGAGAGCCCGGCCGCAGCGCTGACATCTCCCGAGCAGAGGGGGGCCTGGGGTGCGCACGCTGGGTCGCGAGGACACAGCACTTCCATGGGCAGCGTCAGAGGGGTGCACCCTCTTGCTGAGCTAACACCTGCCCTGGCTTCCCACCCGCTGAGCATCCCAAAGGAGGGAAGCCCAGCCCTCGGCTGTAACCTCTCCTGGCTTCTTCCTGACTGACCCTCCTGTCACCTGGAGGTCACTGAGACGTGACTCCTCAGACACATCCCTCAGCCCTGCACGCAGGCTCCCTGAGCCCTTCCCCGGGCTGTGTCCGGGGGCCCTGTCCCCACCCTGCAAGGAGTCCGAGGGAAGAATCCTGCTGGGTCGTGCCCTCTCGGACCTGTGACCTCACCCACCCGTGGGGTCTCAGTCCTCGGCCTGCCTCTAACAAAATCGTTCCGCCACTGTAGTCAGACCCACACCCACCCCCATATATCCTCGTGGTCATTCCACCACTCACACCATGCTGCTCCCTGCTCCCGGTCCCCAGGGCCCCCAGTCCCCAGGGCTCCCCGTTCTAGGGAGACTCCCAGCCCCAGGGGTTCCCAGTCCCAGGGGGGCTCCCAGTCCTGGGGGCTCTGTTGCACTGAGCCTGAGCTAGCCCCCCCGCGCCCCCTGCGCCCAGGACACTGAATGACACCCGGCTTTAGCTCAGGCACGACTGCCTCTTTGACAGCAGCCACACCGTCTGCCGGCACCAAACTGCCCACCTGGTCCTCTCATGGAAGAGATCCCTGCCATGCCGCAGGCGGGACGGGGAGGGGGCGGGAAAGCAGGGACGCTGTCTCCCTTGACCGCTGCTTCATCACCACAGTGACACGTTTATTTTGTTGAGTTCAAGACAAAAATTACACTTCCCTGGTTCACTAAAGGGCTATGAAAATGCTCACAAGAGATCTGGAAGCTAACAGACACGTCAGATGCGTTATAAAGCAGAAATGAATACGAGAATTAAGGCTGTTCCCTCTGGTTTCTTCATGCATGATGGCTTCCGCACTTGCCACTAAGTGTGTGCATTACTGTGAACTTCAGACAAACATCAACGCAGTCCTGGTGAGACAGCTCAGCGACGCCCCCCTCACGAGCCCCCTTTAAATGTGTTTCTCTGCGAGAAACTGTCTCCTGGCCGCAGGTTCTAGATTATGGACCCTGTGCCAAGAGAAAGGCACACAAAACTAAAATGTGCCAAGTTCCCAGGGGAAACACTGTCCAAGCAGCATCACCTCCCCAGACGTGCTAAAGCCTGGCAGAAAGCTGAGCACGTGATCCAGTGGAGGAAGGCGAGGAAGGGGAAGACGAGGACCAGAGGCCCCTGCCTCTTGGCCATCGCATCGTCTGTTCCAGGGAGAAGAGCCAGGCTGTTCCCTGTGTGACTCTCAGGGACGCAGCACCTGCGCATAGGCCCAGCCAGGACCCCGCTTGCTGGTCGATGCTTCAGGGTGACCTTGCAGAGCCTGCTCGTTCACGTCAGAACCCAAGAAACACCCACGAAGCGGGGTCATGAACCTCCCGGCAGAACAGACACCGCGAGGGCCTCTCCGTCACAGGAGAGGAACCCCAGGCCCCTCCGTGGTGACGGCGAGTCCGGCTGCCCAGCCTCTGGCTGCCACGGCAGAAGGCTCTGCGGACAGTGACCCTGCAGAGCTGGGCTGGAACATTCCCCGAGGAGACCCCACGCCACAGAGGCTAGCAGCGGAGCTGTTCTTCCTTTTCTCCCTCTGTTCCTTATGTTCACCCATGTTTTATTCGGAACATCACTGAGCTGCTGTAAGACTCCTGAGAGGGGCTACCCTACACTAGTTTCACTCGCCTCGGAACAGGGTCAGGGACGGTAAGGAGACTTCCCACAGGGCTGGGGGGCAAGGAGGTGCTGAGTGCCCGGCGCAAACCGCCTCCGCCTGCACCCGCTGCCGCGCAGAACCCATGGAGACACACAAAGGCCTTTTCAACTAATACCGTACGTTAGTTTTTAAATGTTAACATATATAGAACTGCTTTTTTTGGAGAAACTTAAAAAGCTTTAAAGAATCAAATGTAACCAAGACTAAAAGTTAGGAGCCTATTTGATAATAGTTGCAAATACTAGATTATTAAAAAAAACCCCACTTTATTGTGGTAAGCATACCCACCATAACACTTTATACTAGAACTTAAAGGCACTGAGCTCATTCCTTACCGATGTTGGGGTGCTTGAGAAGACGGCAGATTCTGGCTTCCCTTTCCAGTTTCTGATGATCTGTAAGAAAACCGCAAAAGTAAATCACAACTTGAGCAAAAAAGATTAAAGGACAAACAGTGTGCCCAAACAACAGAAAGCCTGCACATTTACTTATCCTTTGATGTCTTTTAAAACACAGATTATTTGGCCTGGCCAGTGTGGCTCAGTGGTTGAGCATCCGCCTAAGAACCAGTAGGTCAGGGTTCGATTCCTGGTCAGGGCACATGCCTGGGTTGTGGGCTTGATCCCTAGTAGGGGGCGTGCAGGAGGCAGCCCATCAATGATTCATTCTCTCTCATTGATGTTTCTAGCTCTATCCCTCTCCCTCCCCCCTCTCTCTAAAATCAATAAAAAGAAATATTTTTTTTAAAACTGATCACTTGGATGTGGAGCTGCGTGACAACAGTGGTTTTTAACACCTTTCGTACTGCTCACGAGTTTTCTCATGTTTCGCGCGCCATCTGTTAAGGACCGCTCACGAGTTTTCTCGTTTTTCACGCGCCATCTGTTATGGACCTTAGATGTCAACACACTGTCTTGTCCACATCAAATGAAGCGATCTTATTGGTGGAAACCATGCAGGTCAATCTACGAAAAACTATATAATTGCACGAACCCATAAAGCATTGCAGTTACATTGTATTTTGGTCATTCGAATAGTCTTCGTCTTCAAGTTCCTGGCGCTTTTAGAAAATGTTTTACGCAGTACCATACATTAAAAAAGTACTAGGAACTTTGTTTAATTGTTTTTGTAAATAAAAATGTTATAATTATTGAAAAACGACACCTGAAGTGCATTATGATCTGTAGTTATGATGATTTAAATAACGTGCAGTTTGCCCAAAAACGTGCGGTCCCTGGCGTATGTCTTAGAGATTTCTATGTGGTACGCAATGTGTTAACGGTCTAACTGCCTTCCCTTTTCATTGGCTTCAAGCTGGACAACAGGGGATGGCATAGTCAGCGGTGCCCTCCTCTCTAAGTGTGTGTTGCTGCACCAACTTCAATCAGCAGCGGCACCCCCGGAAGCGAGGGCACATCTGGAACCCAGATGCCCGGAGCGGGCGGGGAGGGCCCCTGCCGCCTGTCCCGTCCGGTGCCCGTTTCTGCACACAGCTGTCCTCCCCGCCCCCCAGGGCCGGGCTCTCCCTCAGCCCCCGCTGCCTGCTCTTCGCGCTTCCCTGACCCAGCCCTTCTGTGAAGGGGCAGGGACACTGCAAACCTGCACTTTACGAACCACCTGATGCCCGTGTTTGGTGTCTCTGTCGCGGTTCATGTGCACATAATTATAACAAAATCACCAGCCAAAACACAAAGCCAACGGCAGAGAAGCAGGAGCACAGCGGACACCCACGTGCCACGGTGCCCGCGGAGGCCAGTACGTGAGCTTTACAGACAAGGGCACCTGACTCCCCTCACGGCCGAGACGGACCGTACCCACCCCTCGGGTACCGAGGGGCCCCCAGCACAGAGAGGCTGTCTCCCGGGCTCACAGAACCAGCAGGGGGCGCCCACCAGGCAGCTCTGCGCTAATGGCATAACCCGCCCAAGAGAACGTGGGACACCACCCACCCCGGAGAGCCTCGCCCGGGCCTCAGCACCGAGAAGCATCGGGAACCCACAGAGCCTGGTTAGGTGCTTAGATCTGTTAACATCACTCTCTTACAACACAACCGAGCAAACTGTAAATATATATTTAATTCATTTAAAAACAATAATGACCCATTGCATATTAATATAAGTGCCTGCATTTAAACTTTAAACTTTTACTTGGAAATAATTAAATCACAAGAAATCTGGAGAAGAATAGTATAGAACCACCTGTGTGCAATTTATCCAGATGCAGCTCTTAACACTTCACCCGTTTTTAACCATTGACCTCTTTCCGCCACGTACATCTGTGTGCACACACACATTTACCTAATTGACACCCACGTGCACCTATACAAACACATAAATGCATGTTTATGCCTAAAGTACCTTCCTCTGATCCGCCTGCAGTAAGTAATTCAGGGAACGGCTTTAAACATCTGTACTGCTGTGAGCTGCCCACAGAGAAGGAAGTGTTCAAGGCACCAGCGTGGCGCGGGCGGTCGGCAGTGCGCCCCCACCTCCAAATCACCAAAGGCCAAGGCTGACACGCTCGGCCACACCACGCTCTCACACTACCCGCCTTCTTCCCCCATCTCCTCCTTCTGAGGACAAGCTCCTTCTAGAATATTCTTACTTAGAAATAGACAACTAAACCCAAAACTCAGGTTCTGAAAGTGCGCCAACAGCACTGTCACACCGTGAAGGGTCACCCTCGAACCACGAGAAAGTGTCCTCCCAGGAACTATGATTCTGCTATGGACGGAGATGTGCAGACACATGCAACACCATGAGGAACAGGACAGCCATCACACAGATGCACATACACAGCGACCATCCGACTCGTGGACAACTGTGTTAAGATGAAGAAGAACAGGGGCGAAGACCTTGATGGTAAACGTGTGCAGTCTCAGCCGTGGGCCGGGCGTTGCCCAGCTGGGCATGTTACAGCGCCGGCTCGCCAACGCATCCAACGCATCGCCTGTGCGCCAGCTCCCTGCCGTCAGAGACGAGCTCCGCACTCAGCGCCTGGAAGTGTGTGTGGTGAGGCCTGGGCACGGTTGAGGGCGTCCTGGGGGGTCTCGGGCTGCAGGAGGGCATCCCCAGGACTCAGGGCGGTGTCTCCCGTCTTCACTGGAAGGATGTCTCCAGGCCCAGAGCCGCGGGCATCCTCGGTCCTCGGTCCTCGGAGACGCTGAGCGGAGGTCTTCGTCCCCCGGGCGCTGGGGGCTGCGGGTCCCCAGATACTCCCTCCTGCTCACCGGGGAGTCTGCCTTCCACCCTGCGCAGCACCCATGACACCACTGCAGCCAGTCAGTAGCTGGAAGTCACCAGGCGGCCCGCATGGGGGCAAGACGACACCAGGACAGGAACCCCAGGAGCCAGAGCCGTGGGGCCACCTCCAAGGCTCCCAAAGCTGCGTCTCCAGGAGCCTTCCCACGACAGGAGCGCTGACCTGCGCCCTCCCCCACGGCCCCCCCAGGGCCCGACAGCCCCCCAGGTGACAGCCTTGGGCAGTGGTGCAGTGCTCCCGCCCCACAGGGGCTCCAGCTCTGCTTGGGGTGGAGCCGTGGCTGCCTGCCACCCCGGGCATTTCTGAGCTGCCCTGAGGAGGAGCTGCGTGAGTGTCTCCCTTAGAACGGCTCCCTGTTCGGTCCAGCCCGCTCTCCCTCCAGCCTGGGAGGAGCAGGAGACCACACTGAAGCCACCTGGGAAGGTCCTGGCCTCCCCACGCGCCATGCCCGGCCGCGCGCAGACCGCTTCACCCTCAGCTCACTTACTATGGGACGGCTCGCTGGCTCTTGCTCTGGCGCGAGCCCATCTCAGGCTGTGGCGGCCCAGGAGGAGGCCTGCAGGGAACAGTGTCTGGGGAACAGCGTCCCCAGCACGCAGAACTCGGACCTTAACAAGGTTCCTGGGAACTCTGAGAAATATGCTTACTCCCAGCTTTAAGATACCTCCCTTTTTTTTTAACTTAAAAAGATTTTATTTCAAAGGAGAAAAACAGGAACTCAGCCCTAATGAGCTAAATCCCTCACTTCTGTTCCCAATCCAAGTTCAGTCTGTAGCTGTGGGGCTTATGTCCCTCAGAGCAAGGGCGTTCCAAGCTCCAGGCGGGACGACCACCCCTGCTGGGTGGGGTCGCGCTTGCAGGGCAGGGAAGCCCAGCAGACGCCCCTCGACGCCTGGTCCCAGGGGCCAGGGGGAGCGGTGCAGTGCCTCTCCGAGTGGCTCAGGGGAACCTTCGCCGCAGCCACCCCCACGGCCTTGACCGGGGAGGCCTGGAGGCCGGAGGGGTCCCCACGGAGCAGCCCTGTCAGCACAGCCAGTGCCAGGAAGGTTTGGGCAGAGGGCCTGCCTCCTGCGTGACTGGTCAGTCAGTGCCCCGACACACACGGCACAAGCACAGCCTCAGGAAGACCCGACGGCCCCCACGGGCAGATCCTAGCCTGGGAGCCACGCAGCAGCTGGGAGGAGGCCAAGTCCCTGGCCCCCGGCCTGGCCCCCGCCCCAGGGCCCGCCCCGCGCTGGGCTCAGATCAGCCCTCAGATCCCCGGTTTCGAGGGCGGCTCACTCGCTCCTCCGGCTGCAGGACAACCAGCCCAACTCGATCCTCAACGTGTTCATATTCGCTCAGTTTCTGAGAAACTCAAGTCCCAGTGAGAGACCTCCCTGCCCAGGACCGGCCCGGCTGCTTCCCCCTCAGCAGAGGAGACAGGAGCACCTGAG